TTTGACAGATTTAATAACTTCATTACAATATGAACATGTCAGATAGAATGGAGAAGCATTAGGAGAAAAAAAAGCAGTAAACGACGATGTAACAAATACATATGATATGTGATGTTCATGCAGGAAAGAAAGAAAAAACATGAATGTCAGATTATGATCAAATTAGCCTCTCTGTCCTTTTCACCTTTTATTACATAAAATACTTGAAATAATGCTTGTGCAAAACCATTTTTATGTACTGTAATAAACAGACTCTAGTTTACAAAAATAGATACATAGAAAACAAAATTATCAGGATTTAAATATTTTATGGTTTGTCCACTCGTCCATTAATCCAGTAAAAGGGCACCCCCTAGCGCATGACCAATTTACATGGCTGATTCAAAGGGGAAAACTTTTCGTTACCCATACAGTATATTACCCATATAAAGCTCTTACGGCAGGTTTTATACAAAAATCGTCGTTATTTAAGCAAAAAGATAATTATAATAGGGACTGAACCTAAATAAGTGTAGTAGAATTTATTATGCACTTAAATAAACATATACCTTTTCGTAATTGCTTTTAATCCCATGTAATAATTTTAGATAACCTGATCTATTTCGGCCCGGAATTAACAAGCTCGTCTGTACTTTTGCCAAGTGCTAAATGCGTGCCGGTTCTCACTAGATTGAACTATATGATACCGGGCAGTTAGTTTTAAAAAGCACATCGGTAACTTCAAGGTAATACGATGTAACTGTAAAATAATGTAAATGTAATACATCTTGTCATCATCAGAAACATCCCTGACGCGATGATCACTACTCACCTGTGGTCTGCAGCAGCTCCAACGATTCTAGAAGAGCAGATATCCTTGGGGTATCTTTACTGTTTCCATTTGCAGATAACTCCGATTTACTATCAGCACCCTGTTGTATACTCTAGGGGAAAAAATCCAGCATGTAAAATATTCATCTAAACGGAGTGGTTGCGTTTTTGCTGCTTATACAATATAACGGGATTTGAAAATGTATAGCCAGGCAGAACTTACCGTATGAAGTTTTAAAATAAAAATAATCTGAACTATAAGAAATGATGCTCTCAGACTCGTTGCCTTTGCCAGAATTTGCAAGAGAGCCATTTCTCTTGAGCAGTCCGTTTCATTCAAATTCTGTTCAAGCAACCACGGTAGTTTTGCCACGGCAATTTAAGGAAACATACCCAAATGCAAGCTTGGCAGGGGAAAAGGAAACATCAGGAGTTAATGTTTCAGGTACGGTACTCTTTCAAAGCATGTAATGTCACTTCCAGTCTGGCATCATTGGAGCAAACCGTTTTACTGTTTCTAGTTTCGGTTATAACAGAAGCGCCTTTCTGTGAGTGAGTCAAGAGAGCCTGACAGTCTTTTCCAGGTAATTTTCGTTGTTTCCAGAAATGTTTTTTTTTTATATCCAAGAATCGGATTTTCTTACTTCATTTTTTTCTCCTTAGGTTTATAATTTTCCTAACCCTTCAACTTCCCAATCATTTATATTACCGCACATGCTTCTAACACCGTATAATAGAACGTAAACATTGATTAATCCTCTGGTGTGGACTGTTAATTATTAATATCTGATTGCGCCGTTTACTTCTGGCCCATGCAAACTTGTATTTCTCTTCTGGAGTTTACCGCACTGTCTAATCTCGCGTCCTGCAGGCTTTCGAAGTAGGACTGCTCCACTCAACCAATCAACAGCTGCATCACCTGTATCAGAGCTATCTGGGAGGCGTTAACATGTGAAGCTATAGTTGACTTCACAGGCTATTCAGAAGTGTATTGCTTTCCCGTAACCCTTTCGAGTACGGTGTCTTTTCTACAGTTATGTTCAAGAATCAAATGTTTTGCAATAAGCTTGATTACTGTAAATTGTAAATCTAAATTACTGCATAAAACATTTCATGAAATACGGAAAGGGTTGTCTATATTGCATGTACAGTAATAGCGGCTTGTGAAATGGTCTACTGGCACATCATAAATCCATGTTTTCTAATTTCTTTAGCTTGGGTATTATAGCAGTGTATTTAAATGAGCATGACATTACATTTTTTTTATTAAGTGAATCTAATAATGCTTTCCTGCTATGGACGTTCCCTTTTTCAGCATAGGAAAAT